TGAGGAGCAGTGCAATAGAAAATATTTCCTATTAGGGGTCCAAGTAGCCCAGTTTCTAAGTCCCTGGTTTCTTTTGGGTCAGGACATTCTTTGAGCTTATTGCTGATGATGCTTACTAAACATCTAGAACTCATCTTACCCCCCCCCCCCCCCCCCCCCCGTAGATATATTTTTTCATTAACTTCATCACCTTGTATTTCGGTAGGGAGCATCTTTGGATCCATATTTATAAATACTTTTTTATTATTTTTGGATGTACTTTCAACCCCCCCAGAAATATTAGCACATCTTTCTACGACATCTAAAAACATATGTACCTATATTATTTACGAGATTTCTCTCAATCACAATAATTACTCGGCAATTTACGTGTGAAGTAAAAGCAATACTTGAAACATCTTTTTTTATGTTGTTTCTGTTCTGTTTTCTTTTTTAAATAATTTCGATGTTGGAGTACACTCGGCACTTCATGACGCGAACTGAATGTTAAAGCAAACGTTCAAAGAAAACACTGTAATACATGAAAAGTGGCGAGTACAGAGTATCCATTTTGCATTAGTCTCTTATCGTCCAGCACGGGACGACTACAAAACGGCATGTGAAAGCAGTAAAATGTCTGGAAAATTCAGCAAATAAATTGTATGGGAAGTGCCGGCGCCCCGTTCATTGATCTTTGCTGCTTGTGCTGCTTGCAGCTTGCTTGATTTACGACTGATATGCCGGAAAAATTTGGTGCGAGTTGAACAGTTCTAGTATTGAGGGTACCATATTAGCAGTATTTCTCCAGGCGGCTTCAGAATGATAAATGATTATTTTTCAGTTCAGACGTAGGGGAAATAATGAAATTGCGAAAAATTCAATATCATAGTATAAAATGGCACATCGCATTCTTTCATTGAAGAACACTCAATTAGGTGACACACAAGACAAATAATATTACCCTTTTGCAGGTAAAATAAATGAAATCTCCAATTTCCGACGCAAAGGTACCAAGCTGCAACATATTAGCCAAGAGTGCATATAGTGCTTTTTGTCTTTGCAACGTTTGACATCATCTTTGAAATTATAGGGTCATATTCTTTATCGTCACTCACAAGTACAATTGAGGGTACCTCAATGAAGTGTCTCTCAAGTGTTTCCGAATGTATTCGAAATTCGCAACGACCAATTCAAATCAAATTTCTATCAGCCTATTTGATGGTTGTGGTTTTGGCATTTGTGCTTGGAGTTACATAGATCAAAATGACTGAAGAACAAAAATACTATTCAGAGGCTGAAAAATTCCTAGAGGAAGACAATTAGACAATTGAAGAATACAAAGACATTATCGAATCATCAAGAAGCCTAGGGAGAAATAAGCAATTTGTGCAACTCCCAAGGGATGATCTAAAGGCATTCCAAATTAACTTACAGGAAAAGGACAGCTGATGCCAGAATGATATACGTATACTGTAAATTCCAAACTTTACTTATTTACTATTACTATTACCATTCATATGCTAATATTTTGTCTACTGCTAAAAAGCGGTTTAGGAGTGTTTATTTTTGTTCCATTAGTTTATTTTATTTGCCTTTGTTGCAAGATATATATTAGAATAAATATGCTTGTTAGAAATAGTCGTGGTGTCTTAAGAACCATCGTGGAAACCAACCTTATTTTTGTGGAGTATTGGAGCTACAGTAACTTGCATTCACCAACGTATTAATCAATCCTCAAGGAATACAGTTTTAAACTTGAGTGATCAAAACGTTTTATTATAATGTATAAACTCATTATCACCACAATTTCTAGTAATGAACACACGGCGAAGATATAGATCATGTACATATGTAATCTAAAAAGAAACCCATTACTTCATAGATTTCTACTGATAAACTCAAACATGCAACCTGAACATTTAAAGAAGTTTTCTTTTTCTCAAAATCACTTCTCCTCCTGGAATTTTTTATTGATATGTGTACCCCATCAATGCATAAAGAGACCGATGGATTTCAAAGAACTTTCTAATCATTATTATTTGTTTTGAGCATGAACATATGGCGGAAACCTAATGAGAGTTTTTTGCTCCCAAGAACTGTCAACAAGGTGACAACTGGGATAATACACGAAACTTACCTAAGCCGAAAAAATCCCCGTGAGTCTCAGCCACTATGAAACAGGAGATAACCATTGAGAGTTTCTCATGTATCAAGGGTCCCTGAAGTGATGTGTGTGAATCTCACTCTTAGTGACGCGCTAAAATCAAATTTAAAACATAGGAATGATACTATTTTCCTCCTCCTTTCTGTAAGTTTGCTCGTTAACCACATATGCTTACACTTTTATTGGTTTTATATTTCAAATAATGATTATTAATATTTTTTGCGAAAATAGAAAGCTCTGCTTGCATCCTATTCGGATGCTCGAAGTATGTAGGTAAAGCCTTCCGAATTTCCTTCAAGTAAATGGAGACTGGACTAAATTCGAAAGCGTCTGTAATAAACTATCTTTCGGAGGAATGTCTTTATCTATTTTCCAGAATGCTGCTGCTATAATAAAAGGAATACCTGACATTTCATTCCTCCCCTTTTATGCGGCCATTGCTTGCCCTACGAACAAGTTTTATTTCGATAAATGGAAAAATGGAGCACGAGAGGTAGTTCAAGTGGCATAACAGCCAGATCCGTTGGGAATTCGGATTCAATTTCCGAAATTGGTTCTTTTGAGATGCTGCTAGTTATATCGGTTATTAACTGTGAGCTTCGAGGATATTGAAGTTCAAATAGTTGGAATAGTCGTGACTGGTGAGTAATTTCAGTGGAGATTAAGGAAAAATAATTGTAAACAGCATTATCCACAAAACATTAATCACCAAAAAGTAAGTGAAATGTCGTTGGACCAATCAGGATGGACTGTGCCGCCAATGGCGGATTCAGGGGAGGAGGCGCGGGGGGCGTCTGACACTTGCTTCTGTAATCTAACACCACTGTGTTGCTTTCTAACACATCATGGCGGCAGAGGCATACTACTATACTAAGTGACATATAAATCCGAACACCCAGTTTAAATGGTTTTATTTTAATAAAAGTTGGTGAATGTATTTATCTTACTGTAAATAACAAGTGAAAAAATTTTCAGCCTTATCAGTTGGACATTCCGGTTTTTATACTGCTTTTTTTTATTCACTAACGCCCTAAAAATGAATATTTCAGCCTCAGTAAAGAATCAACGTTGGCGGATTTTGGTTCTTGACATCCTTTACGATCGGGAGCATGCCTAGGCGCGTTGGAGAATGCGTAGCACATCAGGGTGCATCCACACATTATTAAAGGTCAAAGGGCTTTAAAGCAGTGCAATCATTTTGAAATTTTTATCATTTACTTATTATGCTTCATTAAGTACTTATACAAAATTGTATTAAAATAAAACCATTTAAACTGGGTGTTCGGATTTATATGTCACTTAGTATATAAGTTATAGCTATAGGAACTGAGCATTGCGATTTTTTGGTATCCTTTGGTATTCCAAATGCTGTTCTTCTTAGACATCACCTACGTTTATATCACAATTCTTACGATTTCTACGTATATACGAGTATTGTGACTTGTGAAAAGTCTAAGTCTCAGCAATATATTAACTATACAGATTGCACTTAAAAAGTGATTTATGTTCTGTTTGTTGCTCAGTAATAATTTGAAAAGCGTGTAACGCTTGACTGATTTTGTTCGGGGTTGGTAATGCAGCGAAACACTATTAGTCTAATCATATTAGATGAAAATACCCCTGTTTTGCGAAATAATTGTGAAGCCTGGTTTTATTGCTGCAAGTTGTTCAAGGGGTATTCAAAACAAGGACGCATAAAATGGGTGCACCAATTCGAAATGTTTGAATTTGCTTAGAAGAAAAAACGTTACCTTTGTTTTTCGCATAAAAATAACATTTATCTTTCGGAATGGTTTGTGATTCATACCGACAAGGTAAACACGTGTATTTTGCTATTAAATGCTCTTTGATCAAACTCTATATAATGCTCAATAAACTAGTAGTGGTGGCCGAATAACAGGTGTTTTGGGATAAACAATTAGAAATTCTCAAAAAACTACTCCAATTTTGCGAGAAACCATTCATTACCAACAAGTGCCAAAATCTGCATTTTTGCTATTAGTCGGATCTCTTTAAGTGTGGTCTCATAAATACCTAAAAATCTTATTTGAAGAGTTTTCGTTCCTACCAATACTTTCGATTGAATCCCAAAAAACATGTTTTTTCATTATTTCCTGTCGAATAAAAAGTTCTCCCACAAAAATTGGTATACCAATAAAGCCGGACTTTACAATTGGAAATAGACATTTACGAGATTTGTTTAGCGGTGCGATCGTCGAGAAAATGCGTCGATCGATGCTCAAAGTTTCTATTTATGTTGCTATATTGACATTTAAATCACACAGCTTCTGCACTACACGTGAATATGTACAGCCCTGTATTCTTGTACTTGTTTCGTACAAGCATACATTATCAAAATAATTACGATCTAACACATACAGTTTTTTCCAAAGATTTCCAACATTTTTACATGCGAAAACTGAGGAAACAACAGCTATGCCATAAATCTAAGTTCGACAATGAAAGTCTGAAGAATCACTGTAACATGTATATTGAATTTCAAAAAATAATTGACTATACCTACTGATATTTTTATCACCTGCTGATATAAAGAAGTGCTTGATTGTGTCAGTATTTCCACCAAGTATTTGTTTAATGGGCAGTTCAAATTCTTAATCCTTAAGCTTAGTACACAACAGTAGGCCACTTTGCGCAATTTTTTTATATGCAGTCTGAAGTCGTTCTAAAGACACGGTCTATAGATGGTCTATAGACATCCTTCTTTGCCTCGTCTAGCGTCCATATGATAATGTGATTTTTTCGATCTCATGTTCGTTTTCGCCATCAAAGACATTGTTTTGTGTGGAATGGACTGGGGTCTCTCATAATGCTTTTTTTCGGTTAGTTTTTGTACGTTTTAATCTTAAGGCCCGCCGCACATGCCCACACTCGCACTCGTTCACTACACTGCGCCAATGTCGCTTTGACATTGGTGGGCACGTGTGTGTCCGCAATTGCTTTCACGAGTCGTACATCAGTCAGTGTCTCTACCATTCGTAGACGACGAACGGAGCAAGATGGACGCGATTGATATAAGTTCAGAATCCGACAGTGATAACGAGTTTTTAAATAGATTATTGTTAATAAGGAAATCATCGGAAAAAAAATATGGAAGAGCTCTTACCTGTCCAAAAGGAAAACACATGGAGAATTCAAATTAACTTCTGAGTTTTCAGACGAAAAATTTAAAAATTATTTCAGAATGACTAGGAACGATTTTAAGGAAGTACATGCGATGATTGCTACAGATTTAGAAGATCAAGGATATGGTGGCCATGAACGAATTAGTACTAAAGAAAAATTTGCCGTTTTCTTAAGGTAAGTTTATTATGTAGGTAAACAATTACAAAATTAAGCGGAACTATTCAAAGCACAATAATAATTTATAAATTTAATTTACAAAGTTTGAAACATATTTCCAGAACTGTCAAGTTCATTACCGTGAGTCATTATAATATTTGGTGTCCCACCTTCCTTTGGCTGTTGTTGCATAGGAGTAGACGTATAATATGTTCCTGCATCACTATGTGGCTGTTGTTCTACAGGAGAAGGCGTATATGATGAAATATGATCTTACATCACTATTCTATGAATAGGAAGAAGGTGGACGAGGCGAATATTCCACCAAGTTTTTTGATTCTTCTTGGGAGACCAATGAAAATATGTTTGTTTTAATATTGTGTTGAGAAAGTGGCGGCAATCTTTTTGTAGTCTCGTACATACTAATAAAAAAATGAAAAAGTGGATCATTTTTAACATTGCTTATGGTGAAATCATTATAATTGGTGTTAGCAATTAAGCGCTCCCGTTCTTGCTGTCTTTTAGCTAGTCTACGTTCATGGTCCTCAATCGATTTAGTTAGTAAGTTATTCAAAGTTTTCTTTTTTCGTCGTCTTTTATTTCCTTGACCAGCTGATGTTCCAGTAGATTGTGATTCAGGGGTTTCATTAGTTTCTTCAACTCCTGATTCATGAATATCCGTATCATTAATATTTTTTTGAATGTCATTTTCTATAGTATTTGAATTACTATGAGATGATTCGTCATTTAGTATGTCTTCATTAACATTGGTGTTAATTGGCCTATTTGCCATATGCGGAATCAAAAACGCCATATTTTCTTGAAAGCGCCATGCTTTTATATTAACAGCCCCTGATCCACTTTTCGGTTTAGAAATTTTCTGCCGACGAAGCGCATCTCGGTGATTGTTTCTCAGTTTTTCCCAAGATTTCTTGGCTTCACTTCCTGCAATAAAGTTAATCATCATTAATAATCAAAACTATATAAAATATAATAAATGTATTTTTTTTCTTTACAGATTTGTCGCAAGCGGTAACTCGTATCTGAGCATTGGCTATAGTTACCGAATGGGAGAAAGGACTATCTCAAATATTATAACCAAGGTATCTTCAGCTAATTGGAGGAACATGCAACCTATTTACTTGCCGAAACCTACACTGGATATATTGGAAAAAAATGCCGTCGATTCATAAAATATATGGCAAATGCCTAATACTATGGGCGCTATCGATGGAAAACACGTGACAATTAAGAAACCTATAAACAGTGGATCCTCATTTTTTAATTATAAGCAACATCACTCTATTGTACTGTTGGCGGTAGTGGGCGCAAATTATAAATTTGTATTTATTGATGTCGGTTCTAAAGGCAGATTTCCGGATGGAAATATATTTGATAATTGAATATTAAAGAGAAAAATGATAAACAGACAGCTACATCTGCCCGAGCCCAAGGGTCTACCTGGAAGAGAAGACATAGTTGTGCCTTATGTTATTGTTGGTGACGCGGCATTTCCTTTAATGGAAAACCTTATGAGACCTTTTCCTCAGAGACAAGTGATAGACAATTATAGAAACAAAGTTTTTAATTACAGACTCTCAAGAGCAAGACAAACGGTTGAATGTGCATTTGGCTTATTGAGTTCCCGGTTCAGAATATTTTACGGCCATTTGAAATGAAAGTAGGAACAGTAGACAAAATTGTTATGGCGAGTTGTGTCTTGCATAACTATTTACGCACAAAAAGTATAACTAGAAATATGGATGAGGACCTGAACCTGGAAAATGAAAATTTACCAAATTTTCAACAATTACTGCCTTTGCCGCGAATGAGAGGACGCGTTTCGAAAAGTGCATTTGAAATAAGAGACCAATTTACGGATTATTTTAACTCCGTAGAAGGACGAGTGACTTGGCAAAACCACAGCGTGCAACGGGGCGCGTATTGATATCGTTCGACAATTAATACAACAATAGAACTTGTAATTATTTTGTAAATGCACATATGAGTTTATTAAATAAATGTTAGAAATTCATATCTACCTACACAACAGTTTTAGTTTTTATTAGCTACCTTTTTTAATACCTTACATAATCTATTTTATACAAATTCTAGACTATATTTTATACCATAAACAAACAAACATCCATACTTTCACATTTATAATATCAGTAAGATTTATATAAGTAATACTTACCATCCTTGAGATTTAGCGCCTCTGCGATTAGTTTCCAAACAGAATCCTTCAATTTTTTATTCATATAATCTTGGTGTTTTACGTCGTATAAACATTTTTCGCTTCGAACAGCTTCAATAAGTTCCTCCATTTTGCAAATACTCGCGACACTGCCACTCGAAAACAATGTCTCGGCCACCTAGCCGACACGCGCGTACACGCTCATGTACGTGCCTGCGTCGACACGTGAGAGCAAATGCGGAGTTTGGTACTGTGCCATAGGTTTCAAATACTGCCACTCGCACACGGCTCGTGACGGCCAATGCGAGTGTGGGCATGTGCGGCGGGGCTAAATATTATTACACTAGTTAATTATAAATGCCACGTATTTCTTTTGTTCTCATATAATAAAATATTGCCTTTCTGAGGATTTCTGGGAATTTTCCATGTTTTTTTTCAACCTGGCATTAACCAGATAGAACACAATGGATTTAAAAAAGCAATAATAGGATACATTCTAGAAGTTCCACTGAGGTTGAAAAATTACCACCCCCAAATATCGTTTGCGGCACCCCCCTCCCCCCCCCCCCCTAGGCGAGATCCTAAATCCGCCCTTGGTGCATACGACACACCTGTGACATAATGTGCTCCAGCTCTAAATACCCACGGTAGTAGTATGTATGTATGGTCTAAAAGCCCATGACACAAAGCACTAGACCTAGAGGATCTATTAGGAGAAAGGTTTCTCATTCCCCATTTTTTGGAGAAGAATGATAGAGACGTGCTTGCCAATGTCAAAGCATGCCCAGTTGGCTGACTTACTTCCCTTTTCACGTTTTCCCACTGCTCCTCCCCCGCAGATGGGGGATCGTCACCACATGTTAGAAGGAAAAATACAAGCGTAAACATTAGATAATCAATTATCCAATTATCCTTGTATAATGAGCTGGGTTGGCAGCCGATTGTTTATCAAAAACCATACTTTGCTGCTTTGGGAGTCATAGCTGCATGTTAAAAGGAAAAAAGACGCAAACATCAGTTTTTTCTCGTGATTTGTTCTTGGGTCTCAAGAGCAAACTGTTGTATCTTATATTATTTTCTCACAAGACAAGCAACATGAGTTTCTTTAGATGTTGAAGTAGTGTTTCATGCGTTTAGAATTCGAACCAAGCACTTGAGCAATATTTTAGTAGAAGATTATATAACAATTATCCGGTGTGTTGCCAAAAAAGTTCTGGGTGGGTTTTCGTGTTTTAAATAAAAAAATCATCCTGGACAAATCAAATACTACTAAAACCTGCAACCTGGGAGTGACACATTTTTTGCTTTAACCTCAGCGGTTGTACATCTCTCAAAGCTTAAAAACAATTTTTGCCATTTCGCTTAGCGTCTTCAACGGCATTATTGCATGATTATCTGAATAGTACAATCATTCAATACACCAGTTCAAAAAAATCACCGGTTGCTAGGTTTCTTGTGTTTGGCCGTAATATGTACAAGGTGAACAGACCACGATGACGATAGTAATAGAGCAGAAAATACATCGAAAAATTGCATCAAAAGTTAAAACGTAGTTATCACAAAGATACAGGGCATTGAAAACGTTCACGCCACTGATGAGACACAGGTCAAATCATGAAGATTCCTCAAATAAGAGGGTTGGGGTTACTCCAGTAATGTAACGTCACTAACTTTTTACGAACTTTCAAATAGAACGGATTCAAGTTTCTATACGGATTTTGTCTCAAATACCCAAATCAATTTCTCTCCAAAATGAATGGTCCGACACAAATTTTTCTCTTCAGTGACAATTTTTGTAAAATTTAGTACCTAGTCTAAAAATACAATTGACGCTTCACAAGAGTCAGTGACATATAAAATATTTTCTATTCTGTAGAGATCAAAACATCTGAGTTTCTACGCTACTGGTGTAGTTAGAGCCGCAAAAAGTTGTATCTATATTGATTATGGTGTTAGTACTGTTAGTAAAAAATTTTAAGTCGATAATACATTTACCCATTTTGGTGATAAAAATTTCTTCTTTGACCCTATATTAACTAACACTAGTAACTGATTTCACACGAAAAGGTACACGAAAGTGAGCTATGCATTACCTAAATATCTAAAAAATAGCGCTTTTTTAAATTTAATTAAATCCAGTAGCTGCAGTTGTGTTGATGAACAGAATTGGGTAAACAGCAAAAGAAAAAAGGAATAGTTTATTTTTTCATTCTCAGCCCATAAGCAACGTAGACACGCCCAGTCACGACGACTCGATGAGAAGGGGTACGCTTATGTTAAACGACCGACTATCCATACAGACGCCATCCGTATTGCTTTTACCAATGATCTAGACACTCCAGTAGAGAGTATTACAATACATTCGACCTTCAACAGCATAAAATTACGCGACCATGGTAGGAAAACCAATAAGTCTTGAGAATATATACAACTTAATTGCGAACTCCAATAAAGAACTCAAAGGTGACACGGAACAATAGAACAGGAACATCACAGAGTTAAAAAAGAGTTAGAGAACGCAAACAATGAATTCAAAGACATTGAAGAGGGATAAAAAATTAAAAAACAAATTGTGTGTGTTTGAAAATAAATTGAGGAAGTACAATGTAGTTGCATATAGCATTACTTGGAACCCAATATAGATTTACCGAGAGGAAGTCTACCTCAGACGCAAGATTAGATGTTAATCAAATACACTAAAATCTTGATAACAAATTTCCTTGGTTTTGTATTGTCATTCTAAGAAGTCTTTTCGACACAGTAAACCATGAATTATTGATAGACATATTTGAAAGAGACAGACAGCAGTCCGTCAAATTATCAAAAATGTTCAGAAACGAAACTTTTATTTAATGTGGCATCCCACAAGCAACCGTTTTAGGTCCACTGCCTTCAAATACAAATTTAAAGGACATATTTCAAAATGACTGTGTGTGCAAAATAGTGACATTCGCAGATGACACGGTTCTTTATAAAGCTGATTACTCTCTTTTAAAAAACATAGTTGAATTGTTTTTTTTTTCAAGTTTGTCCAGTGGCAGAAAGTAATTGAGCATCAACTACTCTAAAACACATTTTTTAACATTATCTTCCTAGATCCACACTTGTGTTGGGATGTTCATATTTCATATACTTCAAAAAAAGGAGTCTCGTATAAAATTAGATACATCAATATTTCAAAAAAAATGTCTATAACTTATACCATAATTCGATCTAGCAACATTACACATGCGATACATTTTCATGAGGAGCTACATGCTCAACCCATATGTATGATTTGGATATTGTTCAAAGAATGTTTCTAAAAACAATGTTTAACAAACCAAAATTATATCAAACATATATCTGATAAAGATATACGCTTATATGGTAAAACAGATCTTTTACATGCTATCACCAATTGTCACAAATTCATTACTAACGACAGAAAAATTAAACACAGTCACCACACAAAAGACAAGCTAATGGGAACAGTTGAACTTAGACAAATAAATCTATAACACAAGGATCATACCTTTATATATATATATATATATATATATATAACTTAAGACGTGGTCATTGTCGTCTCGATCAGTTAGGTGAAAAATTAAAGCTTCTGCCTTTTGTTGGGTACTTCGACAAACTTTAAGCAAGGAAGACTCTTTATACTTTATATATATATATATATATATAACATTATACGTAACTTTACCTGGCAATATAAAGAGTCTACACCTTGGGAATGATTTCAAAATAAAAGAAGAGATTTTTTCGATAGTAAGACCAGACGTACACACATTAATAGTAAATGTAAACATCGGATAATTCGCTTTATTCATATTTAAATACTCTGCACAATTGCAATATTAATGGTCCATGTACAGGCAATACCTCCTATGGACTTTTGTTTCATATTTTTTACTGTTTTACTCATTCTTTATATTGTGTTTGAGGAGTGAATAAATATTATCGGGACAACTTAAAATTGTATTGACAATGGAAAATCGAAGTCCAGAGTCGCTTATAAACGTTTTGAGCCTAAAGTAGACCAAAACTTTAAATCGATGTATTGAAAGGAAAACATAGAAAATAAGTATGTAGCGAAACTTGTTGCCAATATTACAAATATTAACGATAATCGTGATACTGTCCGTATTGCATGGTGGATTTCCGAGAGCATCCTTTACAATAAAGCCCTATTGATTAACCTAAAGGCAGATATGTATAATATTTCTTACATAAAAAGACATGGACCCCCGTTTCTGTCCAGAAAAGAACATTAATAATAATAGTATATCGAGTAGTATCTCATCCGCTATATTTCATCGTCCGATATCGATTACTGTGGCCGTCAGTTTCTAAGGACCTCAGTCAGCGGTTTCCGTGTTTTTCTTCTATAATAAAAAAGGCGCTACAATAAAAGCGATGGATGTGGAGGGGCAGTATTATGCCCGGGACGTTATGAGCACTTAAGGGCCTGATCCCTTGAAGGGCGCGTTTATGGGGTGATAGGTGTACTCGTCCCAACGTCATAACGAACGATTCTTGCATAGAGACCGGTGTTCGCACAATTAATCTCGCTGAGAAAATGCTATGTGTCCTGATTTCAAGATGGTGGCGCTGGATGAATAGACATAGGTGGGTACAAAAAAGGGTTCATCAAAAACGGAAGTTTTTCGGTATCAACATTTTAGTCCTCATCCTCCTTTACTGATTACACTGATAAACATAGGATTTGTGACATGACAATTTTTTGGTGTATCTTATGCATTTTGAGACCCTTAAATCAAATCTAAAAACAGAATTTTTCTAATACCCACATACATTCGGTAACATCTACATTTATGAATTACAATACGTAACTTCTCATATTGCTGCATTTCTCGGCGTTTATGCGATGACGCACATATATAATGTTAAGACCTGTCAATTCCTGTTTATTATATGCGAGCTCTATGTTTAGAGAGCATATTGCGTTTATTAGTACACTAATAGCAGCCGAGTCAGTTACGTTTTCTGTGTTGAAGAGTGATGAGATGTTCAGAGTTCTCTTAATTTTTGTTAAAACGGTTTTTAGTTCATTGTGATCGATACTAGCTTTATGGACAATGCCTAGAAATTGTGTAAATAGTGCGAACAGTTTTTTTATGTGTGCGGAGAGCTAACTTTTAAATCCCAAAAACGTACTTTTACAACCCTTGTGTTGAAAGCATACGAACCTTGTTTTGGAATTAAAGCTGGCGA